AATCCGTGTGCCAGCCATGCCCTGACTTTGATCAGCCCAAAGGTCGTTTTAAGGTCCAATCCGTGTGCCAGCCATGCCCTGACTTTGATCAGCCCCAAAGTCCCAGGGTGTTGATAAAAATTGAAGGCTTTCCAACAATTCAACAGCAAATAGTAAAAAATATATAAATCTGCTGCTTTTTACATCTCACAATGTGGAAAGATTTTTGTGGATTTGACCCAAATTTGACCACTTTAAAGAAAACACTTTCCTAAACTCGAAAATTTACAAACAATATTTTCCTACCGTTACAAATAGTATTTTCCACATTAAAAAAACACAAATGAAAAGAACCATGAGAATTTGAAATTTTTAGGTGCCTTTTCGAATCAAATTTTTAAATTCTTGGTGATACCCAGTACCTGTTGATGCCCAAGAGGCTTTTTTCATTGGACAAATTTGTATTTCTAAGATACTAGAAAGAGTAAAAGCTGCTATAAACTTGATAAAATTCAGGCTTGCATTCTTAGGTATAGCAAATTTTTACTGATATGCTCTAGGAAGGCTTCACTTTCATAATAACTGCATTATTCAGATGCTGCATTCTGTATATAGATGGTTTACTCTATCGTGATGGCACCCATGACAGGAGGCAGGAACAATTAAATCTGGTTTTTACATGAGGAAGAATTCAGTTTCCCAAGGGAAAAAGACTATTTTGTGTTTTCTGTCATGGCTGCCATCACGTGGTGGTGCAAAGCCTTTATTGATGCCATTTTCCAGTTGCAATTAAAATGCAGTCCATTTGATTACAAAAATATTGCATAAGATATTTACTGTAAGCTTATAACAAAAGTGAACATAAAACAGCTTGTATTTTTATATAATGAATAACTACCCATTTTTAAATGCCATTTTTTCACATGAATGAGAGGTTGTCTAGGAATGTATTTTTAAGGGCAGCAAAGATTTTGTAATAAGGGAGGAGAGATTGAGGATAATATGTCATTCTTGGACAGAATGACAAAAACTTGGGGGGGGAGGGGAGGGGGTAATGTCATTAGTGCACTTTTTCCACATGTATAGTTAGATCTTGTAACTATTAATATTGTATATCATTGTGACCAGTATTTTGTGGTCCAAAATCTGTGACTGTAGAAAATAGAGGTTAGATATAGGCCAGATTCTAAAGTGTTGGTTATAATGCATGAGAATGAGGCTTCTAGGGCAGAGCTAAGAATTGGTATTTTTGATCAAGAGAAAAATTTAAAACTATTAAAATGTGAAATTTTAAGAATAGAAATGAGAGATTCCATTGACCACTTTCAACATATTAAAATTGTATAATTTAGATTCAATTAGTAAAGGAAATCGCACGATCTTTAGTACAATTTGGAATTTATAGGTACGAGTGATGTTTTGAAAGAGTGAGACCTTTCAAAACATCACGAGTGTATAAATTCTGAATTGTTTGAGAAGATTGTGCGATTTTTTGTTTAAAATACACTCAACAAAACTGAGCAACTTAAATTGGACTCTACAGTCAGTACAATTTGGGATTTAATTGTACTCCTCTGTGCAATCAGAATCGAGTAATTTTGTTAAGTGTATTATCATAAGATAGATTTGTCGAGTAGTGAACTGACTAAAATTATTACCAAAATTTTCTTATTATTCAGTGCGAAAGGGAAGGAAAGTCATGTATGGTACATTATTTTATTCCCACCAATAAATGTATTTGGTGATCCATGTGCTTGTAACATACATGAAGTACCATACGACTAAAGCCTCGCAATCAAGTATGAATTTTAAGATATTGAACGTGGCCAATTGGTAGAGGTTTTGCTTGATCAAGTGACAGCATGTAAAACCTCTATATTAAGTTGCCCTGGAAGCCTCATTTTCATGCAGTATTGTAACCTTTTCAGAATGAGAATGCTAGGTGTATCTTACAATAGAGTGGTTTTAGGGTTTTCTATTATAAATGACGACTACTTTGAAACCACTTTTTGGTAATTATATGAATATAGAATTGTTTTCTATTTTATTCTTGGTAATGTGTCCTCTTTTTTTATCATGAATTTTTACCAATGTGGCGGCCATTTTGAATTCTATTTTTGAATGTGCAGTCCCAAAAATTATCCATACCCCCCTCACGGAGGAATATTTGTAAGACACCCCCTACCCCCTGGAAATTCCAATTTTCTTCCATACAAACTCTGTAATTTTTGTTCTTTCTCTGACCCCCCCTACTCTTCGGAAATTCCAAATTCCTCTGTGGGGTGGGTATGGATGATTTCTGGAACTACACAATGAGTCATCATGGGATGCTAAGGGGGCAACTGCCACTCTGTGCTTTATAAATTTTCGACGTTTGCCCCTTAACATTCAATAATTCAAGATGGCCACTGTAAATGACTTACTTATTCAGTATAAATACAGACATTGAAAATGAAATGAAAATGACACATGGTTTTGGATGGGTTGCACCCAAGATAAATAGGTCTGGAGGAGAAAATACTGTAAGAGTTCCATTCCATTTGTCTCTCTTTGCCCTTCCCCACCCCATCAGACACAGTTAAACCTGAGTAGTTCTTACAACTAAGTCCCTCATTGAGTAAGCAACCTCTTATCTGGTTTTGATCATGTCTTACATGGGGACTGCCCCATATCGTAACTTGTTCGGTTAATTTTGAAAGGATTCGTCAAAAATTCCACCCTATATCGCGATGTCTTTGCCAAGACCAGTATGTAATTACAGCACGCATAACATGCCGTAACATTGAATTGGCTTCACATTCCAGTAATTCATCCAATCAAAACACGTAGTTACGGTTACGGTAAAATACGGTACAGCTGCGGACTAGCCGTTTCGTTTTCTACTCATACTAAACCGCTTTATGCTTGCCACATGTTTCGATCTACGTTACGTTGTTCAGCTGTCATCTCATTCCATGCCCAGTCATTCACATTAATGCTTCAAATATTCTTTTTTTCAAAAATCCAAGTTTGTTTCTCACTATCGTCGAACGCAAAATGCGTCCCTTTGATTTCATAACCACATTTCAATATATGTTGGACCAGAGCATCAACTTGAGAGGATTTTAACGGAAACTCCATCTGCGCACCTTTGGTTACCTTGTCCCCAGTCAAGAACTCAAACCCTTCACCTGTATTAAGTCTTCCGCCGAGATTTTCAATGTTAGGAATGATGTTAACAAGGTTATTGACCTCGCCAGCAAGAACCGCGCCCTCTTTACTGCAACTTAAACGAAGATTAAAATTCTGTTTCACGTATTTTGATTTCTCTTTCTTTAGCGCTTCCACCAATGGCTCGATCTCGTAGTATTCCGCTTCGCTTTCAAGTTCATCAAATTCTTTAAAGTTAAGAGGAAGCTTCAACTTCCTGCTTCGTAGGAAACTCAAGATATATCGAAACGTCGCTCCATCTCGATCAATGAAGATGTTACCTCTAGGATCCTTCGCCAAAGGGATAATCCCATTACACATCTTCGCTAACCTAGACTCGGAGAACTGCGTCAAGGTATAAGACGTCGAGTGGTAGTGATATCCTCCGACGTTTAAACTCACAACAGACGGAAATACAAAGATTGCTTGCTCTAAGATTCCATCTTGTTCAATGACTTCACTCGTACGGTAAATACGAAGCTTGGGAGTTTTGTCATTTTCTTTTTTCTCTTCTACCGAGTCTGAGAGAGGAATTATTAAGTCCTTTACTGCGGAAGGATCTTTAGTAATGTCACTAGGAGCGTTTGCCTTTTCTGTTGACATTTTGGAGTGTTTTTTAAGAAACAGTTTGGTTGTATTATTGGATGGCTAGAACCCCAGTCCACCTGTTGTGATGGCATGTGCGCGCGCTAATGATCATGACTGAAACACTCATGGCAGAGCTGAAAAAGGCCAAAAGAACTTGACCTGCGAATAACCTTACTTTTTACTACAAACTAATTAATATAACTTTCGTAAAAATTATTATTGCGCAAGAAGTTTTTGATGGTGCAGACGCACTTCTCCGAGCTCTGAAAAGGAAACCGCGTTGAATTAAATGGCCAGCACCATTTAATCCTGGCTTTTCTGGCAGTAGTTTCTTGCATGTCTTTGAGTGCGTGCGCAGTCGTATTAAAAGAACAGGTCGACAAGTAAAGCTCATCTCTATCTTCTCTGTAACCTTGATGAATTTTAAAATCAAAAATCATGCTTCTAAAAAAAAGATCACGCGTGCACATTGTACCACACCCCACGAAATGCGCGAAGTGACATTAAAAAAATTAGGGGGTAGTAGAGCGCTTTTTAAAACAATTGTGTACCACGTGACTTCTTCATGACACATACTTGTCAATCATTTTTTAGAAGAATTAGTAGGTTCAATTTGGGTCAGCATCTAAATATAACTATCTGTTCATTACGGTAGCACATGAAAACGTCAAACACAGAAAATTGACGAAGATACAACATCGGTATAGCACCATAATGTTGTAAATATTTAAAAATCTTGCTTTTTATGTAGGTTTTTTTGACTTAGAGACATCAGATGTGTCTACTTGCTTTTTACAGAATGTAAAGAATGAGATTATATTGTTGTCTTATCCTCGAGAACCAGACATTTTGATATTCAAATTAGTGTGCTTAGAGATCAACAGCTCAATCCTTCTGTTCTGGATATAGAAATGTCTTCAAATTTAACTCAGTATATAAAATAACTGATGCAAAGCTAAGTTCTTACGAACATATTTCTAGGATGTTCCATTCAAGTCACAGCAATTTTCGTGCCGACTGGTCCATGGAATCTGAAGATATATATATATATATATTTCCAGTGTTTGTTTAAGTCTCAAGGACGTGATTGAAGTATATTGAGTGTTAATATTCTTTAATTAATATCTTGTAACTGACACTTACTACACAGGGAGATGAGAGACAGGAGAGGGAGGGCCCGGGGGGAGGGGGGACRGGKTAAAAGTATCGGGTATGCTCGTCGGATGTTTTCAACAATCCGTGCGAACGTGATTTACAAAGGGCGTGGCTGGACGATTTCAAACAAAATTTATAAATGGCTGTTCAAATGTTTGCCTAAGTATTGTTCTCAAAGCACCTAATCTATGCGTAATTATAAAATACAAGTTATTCTAAG